CAGTTCCTATCTGTACCAGTGTACATCCTCTGGTCTAGCCAGCCTTACAAGGTAGAATTTAGGATCATGATAGTGGGGGAGGAGGAAGCCTTTAGGAACTAGAGGAAAATACAACTTTCCTCTCCTGTCCGTCTTAAAGAAACCTTCCCTCCAGCTGTCTGTCCTCCACTAAGAAAGCTTTCCTCTAGCTTCTTTCTCCTGTTAAAATAACAGGGTTTTGTACAAATTAAAGAAACAGGCACACATTTTGAAGAGTGTATGTGGGAACGCCGGATCTTCCGTACTTGACGGGTCTTGCCCTTCTATGGAGACCGATACGCGTTCCCAGAGAAAGAGTGGCCCTCACTTTGGCTGAGTTCCTGCTCACTAAACCCCATCTTCGTACAGCTGGGCGAGTCTCTTTCTCCTTTTACTTGCCACCTGCTAGACTGCTGACTGACAGCCACCAAACTGAGTCGCCTCCCTTGAGGCCCCCAGTCCTGGAAGGACTTAGCGCAGCCACCTGGGAATGCCCGTCACGTCTCAATGCGCGGGGCGTGCGCTGGAGCATCACTTCCACACCCTCCAGGCTGAGCGCGCTGCCCGCGCCGCCCTCCCGGCCGGCAAGAAGGACCCAGGGAGTTTCCAGACCGGGTTCCCCCCCACCACGCCCCGCTCCCAGGAGAAGGTACCGCCCAGGTGACAAGACTGGGCAAACCTCAGGAGGAGGCCCTAACGTTTGTGCACCAGCTGCAGCCACTCGCTTCCTGCATAGCATTCACTTCGTGGTGAGAGAAACAACGGACCCCGGGGCTCACCTTTGACCTGAAGACGTTCAAGGAGTCTAGGGAGGAGGCACCGCTGTGTGAAAGGAAACAAGGGAGGTTAGGAGACCCGCAAAGTGATGAATCGGGAACCCCAACGCCCCAGTCTGGGATCCCCCTTTCTCCAACAGGGATTCTCACAAGGAATCCCAACCAATCCCGAAGCAGGGGGATGGGACCAATCTCTGGGACACCCTCCCACATCCCACCACGCGAGGGCGCGGCAGGGGCGGGGGAGGAGGAAGAAGGGTGATTGCACCCCAGCCAGGCTGCTGTGGGCACCAGGGCCACCCCAACTGGTCACTGCGCGACCCCCACCTGGGCGCGCCGACTACACTCTGCTCAGGCAGCAGGCGCTTCTCTGGCACCACGCCCCGTGCACAGCAAGTAGGACCCGCGCTAGGAGCCCCACTTCCGGCTAGGACACCGCCACTTCCGGCCCGTCTCAGCATGACCCGGAATGGGAGGAGCATAGTCAAGGGTGTGATCCGGAAACACGTCAGTGAAAAATCAGTTAGGGGATAAGACTTCATTAAGCAGAGGCTTTCCGGAAAACACGTACCTTTCATGATGTGGAAGAGATTAATATGACATAATAAACAGTTCCTGGTGCCTAAATTCCCACCAACATATTTGAAAGTTTGTTCTTCATAGCACTGACCATACAGCAAGGGATTCCGATGAATTGTAAATAATATAATGTGTAGGTCTTAGGAAAAAAAACAAACACGCAGATTCTCATTCTGACAAACGATTAGATTATTATCAGATGTATGATCAAAGTCACACCTCATAGACAGCATGGACTGAGCTAAAGGCGTCAACCTCCCTAGGTGACACTGAATATCCGCATCGTAAAAGGTGATGCCTGAGTCACTTTGATAGTGGGTCAGGTTATCCTTCTCTTACAACCAGAGTCTCATAGCTGTGCTCAGGGCCCATAAAACAAGTAACAATATACTTCTACCATATCCACACAATTTTAATGTTATACAAAACAAAATATTTTCTTCAGCTCTTGGATACTCAAGTACACTTTAACTTCCATGTGGTGCTTATCCATGTCTGAGACTGAGAAAATAAACCACTACATCACCTGTCTAGTTGTGGACTATTGTTTATAAGCACACTACTTGCTGTGGTAAAGATGAAACATTATGTTCTATAAAATGTAAAAACAAAAGCCTAAGGAGCTTTTACTCTGCTCTCTATGGTTCTATGAGTCAGAAATCACACAACAGCTCCAACTTTATTGTTCTTCTTTTAAATACATTTTCTTATTCCATATATGTAAAACCTTAGAGTGTTTGTGTATTTTCAAACCTGAGGCAAATACAAGAGATACATCACTTCAACCATGGTGCTTGGTAACGTAGAGGGGCAGCAAACAAGAGGAAAACTTTTTAGATTGACAAAGGCTGAAACAAAGGGCTCAAATATAAGAACAATTATGAGAATGGTGTAGAACAGGCCAGTGTTTCTCCCTGTGGCAATAGGGAGAAACTATGATTTAGAACTAGTTTAGTCACATCTAACAACAACCTCCCTTGTACAGGGACTCTATGTACAATAAGTACTGAAATGTTAGAGTGTTTCTTTTTTAAATAAGCAGTAAAGTAATAATCATTCCAGAATCATTGTTGAAAATATATAATCATGGTTTTAATATATATACCTGGAAGATGAATCAATAGTCAAGGACAAAATCGAACAATGGTAGATTTGTATGAGAAACTTTATTTATTTATTACTTTAATGCATGTGAAACTTTATAAGAAAATTTTAAGACTACAGAGAATATGGGGTAAATTATTTATAAAACACACTACAACAGGATATATTACACTGGTGTTTTAAAGATAAAGTAACATATTTGATGATTACATAACTCTATTGGTTTCGGAGAGTGATTAGATCATACATCAGCGCAGTTTATCTTTACATTTGTGGAAATGGGATGGATTGCGTTAGAGAGCATCTATCCCTGCCTTTGAGTTCATATTTCAACTTGACTGATTACTACCAGGGATGCAAGGATGTCTCAATATTATAAAAACTATTAATGTAACCAACCACATAAATAGGGCAAAGAATAAGAACTATATGATCATATTCATAGATGCAGAAAAGGCATTTGACAATATCCAACACCCATTCCTGATAAAAACGCTCCACACATAGAAACAGAAAGGAGAGACCTCAACACATGAAATGTATTAAAGGAAACACAATCCGCGAAGGACAATTAGTTGAATGGAACTTGCTGAAAATCAGAGACTTATTCACATAGAAAGGTTTGATCAAAAGAGCAATACAGAACCCACAGATTGGGGGGAAATAAATCTTTTGCAGTGAGGAGAGGGAGAGAGCAAGGGAGGAGAAGAGGAGGAGGAGATGACAACTGGACAACTGTGGCGTTTTCAGGAATTCCCCATCTGTATGCTCACCTGAGCATGCACAAGGGAAAGGGGCCTTGAGTGTGGGTGCTGTAGCACAGGGAGCAGAGCCTGAAATCCGTGTCCGAGGATGAAGCAGGTTGTGAAGCGTCTTCCTGTTGTGACTCTTGATTCTACAAGGCTCAGGCCTCTTCCTCGAGTTGGGTGGTTGAGGGGCGTCCAGGTGGAACCCCGGAGAGATGTGGTCAAGTGGAGCAGATGGCATCAGATGCTGTCAGGTGTGTGTGTCTGTGGTCCTAGCAGCTGGAGTGTCTCTTGGAGAATTCCCACTTGGGAAGCATGCCTTCCACAACCATTTTTCTTTCAGTTTGTCTTTCTCTCTGGGCTTGTGTGCTGCTGTGATTCAAATGCAAACGCGTTTCAAATGCAAGCAGGGCCACCCAAAGTGCACTGCTTTCAGCAGGATTTCCAGACTAAGAAACTGCTAACTGAGATTGAATCCGTTGCCACTCCAGGCCCTGAGCCTCACCTCCAAGCCCCTCCCTCCAGGTCGCCCTTATTACCTCCAGGCCCCGCCCCTTCGCACAGACTCCACCCCGCCCCTCCCCAGTCGGTGCAATTTCCTGCTGACCCCACTTCCTCTGCCTGAGAAGGCTCCGAGTGGGCGGCCCACGGGTTCCCACGGGTGAGTGAGTCTCCGTGTCTGTGCTGATCCCAGGCGCGGAGTCCCCGCGGGCCTGGCGTCCCCAGCGGTGTCCCGGTTCCCGCGGACGTTACACTTCCCGCACCCCGTCCGCCCGCGACCGCCTGGGACGTTTCCAGTTAAATCCTCTGAGCTGGTTACAGGCCTCAGCCTTCGGGCCTGGGAATACTCTGGCCGCTTTTCTTGCTCAGAGCCCCTCCTGCACCCTCACCCCTCCCTCCAGAAAGGCGCGATGGGGGGAGGGTTCTTACCTGGGGTCGCGGTCCTTTCCGTGTCAGGTCGCGGGCATGAGAGCAGGGGACCCCAGAGTGGCCTTTACTGAAAGGAGAGGCCAGCCTTGCGGTCATCAGGCCACCCCACTGATGACCGAGGTCTGTAGTAGAGCTTAACTTGTCAGCACCTCGCTTTGCAAAAGGGTGCCATAGCAGTGACGGCCCCAGATCCCCGCGTAGATGAAGTCCTCACGTGGATTGCAGAGTCCCTCCGAGAGGAAGCCTCCATTGAGTGCTTTCTGACCAGGAAGCAAGGGTGTGGGTAACATGGCCCTCAGGCAGAGGGCCCTGGAGTTTGGCCAGCTCCAGTAAAGCTTTGCATTCGATCTTTCCGAGTGGCCCTGATTTATCTTGAGACCTGCATATAACAGTTTCTTGGACCCAAATTCTAAGTATGTAAATTCTTTTTATTCTGTTGAGGTTTTTTTTCATATGTTAACTGTTTCTCCAATTTGTTTGCATTTGCTGTGCAAAAACTATGTCCTACTAATAGCTCCTCATTTTTAAAATTGTGTCATAATTATTTCTAACACAAGGCAACATCCAGATATATAACTCTTATACATAGTAAGATAGGATCTTATTTTAAAGACGCTACCATTTTCTCTGTGCCCCACTGCATGGTAATGCTTGAATGTTTTAGCCTTTTATGCACTGTTCTTGAGAAGAGGCTTCTTTTGCCCACTGCGCTACAGTGGATCTGTGAGTGATGCCACAGCACCTTGAACTCCTCCTTAGGGTTTCCAGGCTATAAGCCATGTTACCATTTGGCCACCTCATGGAACACAACTGCTTTCATTTCATGTGGCTGCCAATCCTTGAACCACTGGAGCAGTAGGGCTTCTTCACGGACTAATTGAGATAGGCCACGCTGACAGGTTTTTCATTATAGACATGGTGATTCTTTATGGGAATTATTTGTTTCTGATTTAGTCTTATTTCCAACACAATATCCATGTGCATACATAGACATACATATGCTCTCATGTTCAATTCCCCTTTGGTTAGGTGCCATGGAGTTAATTCCATCGTGTGGCTGTGTCATGAGCAGAACAGTTCCGTAGTGTTTCTGGAGTATCGTATCTGTGGAAGCAGATCTGTTCTTCCACAGTAATGCAGGCTGAGTGTACCCCGTCAATGCTCAGGGGAACAGTCCAGTGCAAGCTGTTTGTGCCACCTAGAAACCTTCTTGTCCCTAACCCCCAAACACACTCACTGCCACACAGTCAATTCCGACTCCTTGTCTTCCTGTAGGTGTCTGAGATCAAAGTCTATACAGGAGCAGCCAGCCTCATTTTCCTCTTGCAAATGTGCTGGTGGGCTTGAACTGCCAGCCTTGAGGGTCGCAAATGAAGCCAGAATTCATCCCCCACCCCCAGGAATGAACCAAATCAAGGAGATGCCATCAAATCCACACCAACTCCTGAGACTCCATGTGTGTCAGAGCACAGCGATGTTGCAGAGGGGTTTCCGTGACTGGTTTCTCCAAGTGTATCACCCTGGTTTTCTTCCCTGGACACTGAGTAGACACAAACTTCCAATCTCTTCATGAACACCTATCCATGGTAACAACCTGTAGTGCTCAGGGACATCCAAAACGAAGCAAGACACACGTGTGCGTGTACACACTCTTAGAAAAGCCAGAACCTATATAAATTGGAAATCTTTCAGAGGAGGAAAACTCAAAACTATAAAATGTGGTTGAGTTTCTAACTATAACATGAGAAACCACACAGTTGAATTTGTAAAATTTGCAGAACCCAGAAAAATAAAGTCATTCTGTTAAATTTTCAGCTATCAAGTTTTTATGTAATCATACAGATATACTGTAACCTAACTGGTCTCTACCGTAGCTAGAGAATAAAATTAATATCAACTTTAATAGAGCGTTAAGAGAGATGTTATATGTAAATAGTTTAATATTCTTTCTGAGTTTTCGTGGAAGATGAACAGGTATCCTAAAGATTTTTAAGATGTACAATATTTGAGGAATTAAAAAAGATTTATTACATTCTATTTAGCATAATAGTATACTGTTTAGCATAATCTATTAGGAACAGAAATGCAGTGGCTTCAAAAGGTTCATGGATAAATTCCATTATCTTTATTCCATTTTTCCATGACCTTTTTGAAAGCCCCTTGTGCATTCATGGCATGAAGGATTGGCTACCAATGAGCTCCTTGTATCTCAATTAGATAATGATTTGATAAATATCAATCATTTGCCTACCATGGGATTCCATATGGTGACCGTATGTGGTTTCAGAGTAAAACTATACTCTGGAAGATTTTCAATGTCTAACTTCAGAAGTTGGCTGATTTCTTCTAAGGTACTTCTTCGTTGCCTTCAGTCTCCAATCTTTTGTTTGATGGCTGAGCACTCAGTTGGTTGCACTACTCAGGGACTCTGTTTAAGGACCTACATCTTGAAGTGTGAGTGCTTGCTGTCAGAGCCCTGTATTGCCTGATGTGTCCTGAATTAACTTCCCTTACAAATGGGTGGGCCTTTTCTGGGGTGGCTTTTCTTTTTCTGTTGGTCTCTTCTGTGTTCCTATAATGATGCTTCATTGTATGTGGGATATGTGAACAAAGGGACCTTTTGTCACAGTGGGTTAAAAATTGGGTCAGCTGTTCACACTCACCAGAAATGTGCAGGAGAGATGAGTCCGCCTGCTCCAGTAAAGATGGACAGGCGTGGGAGTCCTAGAGGGAGTTCTACTCTGTCTGACAGCTCTGCTGTGAATTGGACCAGGTGTGCTGGCAGGGAGTTATGTGTGGACAAGGCCAGACCTTGTTCTTGACCACTTATTAGCTATTTGAAACTGAATGCAATTAGATTATTCACATTTTTGTGAACTCTTGTGAAGTGCAAGAAAATTTTTATGTGACAGTTTGGAGAACTGATCTACTTGTGGAGGAGAGTTTTGGAGCATGCTATTTTTTTAATTGATTTCAGTCTTTTGTATTTCTTCACTGAGGTCTCAATGACACACCTTTCTGACATCCTTTATCCTTATTAAAACTTATTTGGTCAACCTGGGGTTCGACTATCCTTAAAACATAACAAGTACACTCCCTCCTGATGCCCTGTGGCCTGGTATTTTCTCCTCCTGGCACAAGCTCTTTTGGGCTGCCCCTTAGTTAATTCCATCACCTCCTTCAACTCACTGTTTTCAATGAATTCAATTAATTAGACAACTAAGGGCAGATGACCACAACTAAACAAAAGGGCCCCATGGGCAGGTACACAGAATTATTTCACAGTGGAAATCAGCTGAGAGAGTACCTATGTCCACCTCCATCTGTTTTCAGGACAGATGTTTGCTCTGGATCCTAACTAGATTAATTAATTAGAGGCATTGAAAAGAATGCCTTTCTTGTTGTTTGTTGCCATCTAGTTTTCTCCAATTTATAACAACACTGTGCACCCATGGGGATGTAGTGGGCTATGTGTTGGGTTGGTACCCACATGTTCAGCCATTCAAAACCACTAACTGGTCCATAGTAGAAAGATGAGGCTTTCTATTCCCTTAAAGACTTGCGGTTTCAGAAACGCACAGGGCCTGTTCTACTATGCTCTATAGGGATGTTTTGAGTCAGAATTGACCAAATGACAGTGATTTTTTAAAAAAAATCTACAACAGAAAAAAAAAAAAAACATGCCCTGTGACCTCCGTACTCTGAGTTCAGTATGACTGACAGAATAACAAACTATCGGCATGTGAACAGAAACGTAGTTGGCAGGCATTTAGTTGTAGACACATGCACCTGCGTGCTGACTCGGTTCAACAACTTACCATTTGAGCAGTACTGAGCATGTACTTAATGTTCATGACTTTCTTCAGCGATGCCCTACTGGAAACAACATCTTAGACAAGAGGACTAAATGAGCCAATGTGGCCAAATCTTTTTGGGAATTGCTTCAAAATTGTAGGTGCTGAATAAGTGCAATGTTTTATCCTGAACGTGTTGTGTGAAAGAGACCCTGGTGGTTCACTGGTTTATTGAGTGGTTGCTGACCATACCCTCTGTGGCTCACGCATACCGGGCACATCAAGGGAGGACGACGAGGCTGCTTGGGCCCGTAAAGATGTACAGACTTGGAAACAGTGATAGCAGTTTCACTCCCTGTTATATGGTCAAAGTGAGTGAAAATTTACTTGATAGCACTACATTTGGTTTTTGTTCATCATAGAGAAATGGAATTTAAGCTTGGAAGGCTTTAAAACATGTTAGCTGATGCACTACTGTGGATGAGATTTTTGAAAGGCTATTTACGCTACACTGTTGTAGCAGAATTGTAGCGTGACTGTGGCAGCTCATGTGACTTTGATGTAGCTAGTCGGCTATGCTGTGAAATTTTAGCATCAAAGTGCAGCCTTTTCTATGTTGCTAGGTGTCAGCATGTCTATTCCAACCCCCTAAAGCCCTCTATATATATAACAGCATGAAACACTGCCCTGTCCTGCACCATCCTCACAAATGTTCCCACGTTTGAGCCCATTGTGACAGCCCCTGTGTCAATCCATTTTGTCGAGGGCCTTTCTCTTCTTTGCCTCTCTCTCCTTCCCAAGCACGATGTCCTTCTCCAGGGACTGGTCTCTCCTGAAAAAAAAATGTGGGAACAAAAGTATGACAAGTCTTAGAGGCCAGTCTCACAGCTGAGAGAATGCTAGTGGTCATCCTGTTCAGCTAGTCGGCCTTCCATGATCTGCAAATGTGAAAAAATCTTAGAGTGGCTCATCTCAAAGCCTGGTGTGGAAGTCCTAGAATCCTAGCACAGTTTAACAGTCAAGTGCATTGAAGTTCAGTCAACTTATAAGAAAATTGGAATCTAAATACTCTTTCCCAGTCAGCAAAAAGAAGGACATGCTATTATGATACTTCATATATTGTGCTCTTTTGTTAGGATATCCTATAAGCTTAGTGTGTATTTATGTGAGTATCCAGTATTTTTTGAGGGGAGCAGTCCATAATAATTACATGACTGTAGCTTTGTGTCTCAGAGTGGGAAAATTTTGAGGCTATCTGTATTCTATTGTTACCTTTCACTCTTGCCCTGTTTCCTTTTTCAATAGCTTGGCCTATCTCCACAAAGGTACAAAATACACAAGAGTGGGACTGTAGAGTAACTGAAAAGTGGGTGAGTAACATAGAAACATTACAGAATATTTAATAATTCTTGAAATAATCATCTCTTTCAGTAGGTAATATGTCAGCTCTTGATCACGTAGAATTCTCCAAGAGGATACCATGAATCCAGGGCTTTGGGTTGCTGCTTTGTTAGTTCATACCTGCAGCTCTCCAATGGCTAAGGAGGGGCTAAAGGGAAAAACACAAATTCTGCAGTGTTTCCTAGTTGCTATCTTGCTTTCACCCTATGCTTCATGTTCTGATAAATATTCTGGTTGGTCTGGTGCAAGGAGGTGCATTTCTCCCTTCCCTCCAGTGGAAGAGAGGATGTGAATGTGGAATAGAGCCTTTTATTTTGGATCATTTGTCTGATTTATGTGTACTGACTGTTCTCTATTCTGAACCATAGAGATAGATAGGAATAAGGTTGCAGTTGGTCACAAACTGTACAGACAAACTGTACTGAGATAAACTCATTGTGCTAGAAGCATGCGGTCGTTGGGATAGCATGTAATTAGTGAGGAAGTATGTCTAGTGCATTGGTTCTCAGCCTTCCTAATGCTGCGACCCTTTAATACAGTTCCTCATGTGTGGTCACCCCCTGACCATAAAATTAATTTAGTTGCTACTTCATTACTGTAATTTTGCTACTGTTATGAATCGGGCGACCCCTGTGAAAGGGTCGTTCGACCCTCAAAGGGGTTGCAACCCATAGGTTGAGAAATGCTGGTCTAGTGGGTGAAGGGGTGAGACTGGTAGCTAAACCCTGATGGTGATCCTTAGTAGAACAAGACCCCTGTGTCTAATCCCCATGTGAAGTGTCTGTTTCCCAGAACTGTCATAGTGGAATGCATGGTACCTTGCTGAACCAGAATATATGGTATGTTTTAGGACACTGTGGCTGTTGAAGAGGTGGCTGTGGACTTCTCCTAGGAAGAATGAAGACCTTGCTGGATCTTTCTTAGAGGAAACTATAGACATGTGATGATGGAAACTTTTAGAAACCTGGCCTCAGTAGGTATGAATATTTTCATTAAAAAAGAAAAAAAATATATATATGTATGTGTGTGTGTGTCATACTCATAGATGCTACTGCAGTATGTGGGCAGAGTCATGGGAATACTTTCTTATATGAACAAGTGTAGTACTTTCCTCTGAGCAGCATGCATGCCATGATTCCCCCATGAATATAAAGCTCTTAGTGTTATACTAACTTCTTACATCAAGTGTGACTACGAGTCTACTATGTTTCCTTACGTGTTATAAATGTGAGTATTGACGTTTGGTGCAGACAATATGTGTGCGTTGTACCGTGTAAGTGCTCTGAGTTTTTTACAAGGCTAGCATGATACTTTTATTATAAACAGGTTTACACCCACCAAAATCCACAAACCTGGAGGAACATAGCTTGGCTCGGTGTCAGGGAATTGTTGATCATCTTTTCAGACTTTCCTGGTGATGTGCCTTTCTCCAAGAGCAGCATGTCAGATACACCTTTTCACTCTCATGACACTAATGTGATGGGGACCTGTGGTAGGCTGGGTTGTCTAGAAAAATAAAACTATAGACACTGACATATGCACATGAAAGGGCTTCATATCAAGAAGTAAACTTTTATCAAGAGAAAATCCCAGCCCAGTCCACCTGAAGCCCATGGGTCCAATGCTAGCTGGAGCATCCACGGCTCAGTGGGTTCAAGTCCCCAAACTTCAGTTTTTGGGTGAACATCGATCCTTTCTGTTGTTCAGCTTAATATATGTGTGTGTCATATACATATATGTGTGTGTATATGCAAATCCATATATAGTCACTCTACTATGTGCATAAAAATTTCTTGTTTTAGTTCATTAATTCATCAGATATGAGGGCCTTCAATACTAAGGAAAACTACAGGACTCTAAATTCATGACTTTCATCACAAAATGGGTGGAAACAAATTCCCTGTTTCAGGGTTCTAATCTGAATAATTTTGCACTTCCTTTTCTGTAAGATACATGCTGTAATTTTGATCATGCTGTATTTTTTTTAATTAAAACATTTTATTGGGGACTTGTAAAACTTATCACAATCCATACATTCAACCATTGTGTCAAGCACATTTGTACATTTGTTGGCATCATCATTCTCAAAACATTTTCTTTCTACTTTAGCCCTTGGTATCAGCTTCTCATTTTTATTTCCCTCCCTCCTTCGTGAACCCTTGATAATTTGTAAATTATTATTTTTTCATGTCTTACACTGACAGATGTCTTCCTTCATCCACTTTTCTGTTGTCCATCGCTCTGGAAGGGGGTTATGTGTAGATCATTGTGATCGGTTTCCCTTTCGCCCCCCACCTTCTCTTTATCCTTCTTATTAGTAATTAATAGAGTTAAGTACCAAAAGTTATTACTGTGTGTTAAAATGTAGCCTACAATGTTTTTATATTTATTAGCTATCGGTGGCATATTTTGTGGATATGATCATTAATTTATGTTTAGAGGAAATTTTATTTCTTTTTGGAAGCCTCTTCTTCCTTAAAAAATGTTCATCTCATTGCTGTAGTTAGAACATACAGTCGATTTTTAATATCACTGGTAAAAGTGGACATTTATGTTTGTCCTTTTTCTGAGGTGGGGTGATGTTTTTTCTCTTTCCTCTAAGTATGACATTTTGAGTTTTTCTTTTCAGGAATGTATATTAGCATATTAGCATACTGAACTATATCTGTTTTGTGTTAGATTTATAGAGTTTTTTCTTTTCTTTTTTTTTTTTTAAACATTTTATTAGGGGCTCATACAACTGTTATCCCAATCCATACACACATCAATTGTGTAAAGCGTATTTGTCTTTGGGTTGCTACTTTGTTAGTTCATACCTGCAGCTCTCCAATGGCTAAGGAGGGGCTA